GTCTCCAGACTTGGGCTGTTTGCTGTATCTATGCAGGGCTCCTAGGCAGGTGTGCTGGCACTGCTGCTTTTACCAAGGGCCGAAGGCCTGCTTCCCAATGTATCGGCCCTGCTTTGTGTATGTGTGCCCAGGCGCAACTGTCAAGGCCTGGGCCAACTGTATGACACATCAATATGAGGCTCACGCGTCTTCCCAACCAACTGGCGTGCTGCGAGAGCCTGAATACCCACATATGGAAATGTCGAATTTTGCCTTTGATGAATATTCAGGCCCACCTTCACTTAGGGCGGGCACTTGGCTTGCTGGGGGGCTTAGCCCATAACAATGTGATGTCTGATAGGGCCACTTGAGGGCTTGTTCCTCACACAACCATTTGTGATAATGTGGAGTAGCTTTCCTGAAACCACTCCCACCGATCTTGTACGGGTAGGTAGGCACCCCTCAAATTTTGCCAACACTCCTGAACTCCTGCCTAGTTGTTGAGTTTGTGAAAGCTAAACCCCTTTTTGACATACTGCTCGAAGCTGATTATAAGTTCGATGAGTTTGTGGTCGAAACCCGGGTACGGTGCGAGGTGCAGGATCTCGACGCTTTTGGTTGTCCCCATTAGTGTCCCTGAGATCAAGAAGTAGTCAATGAAGGAGAAAGCATGGTTCTTTTTAACCAATGTAAAGGGTCTTGTCCCCGGATGCAAAGTTTTGGATAGGCACCGCCTCCTGTGTGAGCTGAGCACCCGAGGACCTAGTTATATAATTAGTGGTGGAGTCTATAGTTGCGTTCCAATCACCGGCCAAAACGCAGGGCGACAAAGGGGGGATCGGATGTCCGATGTTTATTATTATTGTCGATCTGACTGAACAGCTGTTTGGTGAATATACATTGACTATTCTGAATTCTTCCTCCTTCCACTTTACATCTATAACGCACCATCTACCGTCTACCGTATTATTATGAATTCTTCCTCCTTCCACTTTACATCCATAACGCACCATCTACCGTCTACCGTATCCGCCTCTTTGCCCACTATCGACCGTGTCGTATATAGGCGAGAAGATTTGGGCATAAGGATGGTTGTTCCTTTCATGCTTAATGTATTATCTGAGGACCATATTTCGTCCTTCATTCCTCTCAGTTTCCTTGATAAGAGTTTTCGAATTCTGTTGTGTTCTGCTGAGTAGGTGAGACGAGTTTCTTGCAGCAATATGATACCTGTCAGTTTATTTGTGTGAACGGTAAGTCCTTTGATTATGTCATTCATTTTTTCTTCTCCGTTCACAATGTTTTCGTGGCCGTTAATATTCCAGCTCCTAACGACTACACCTTGTGTCTTCCAATCCACCCGGACTTCCTTTACGTTTGCCCCCTTTCTAAAAGTCTCCATCATTGAGGCTACAGGGAATAGGCAAGGGGTATAATCATAGAGGTAGACAGCCTAGGAGGGGGCCTGATCGCTCGCATCCATCCCTTGTGACGCATCACTCGGCGGGTCCTGTTGCCCAGTGGTGGCCGAATCATCTAGCTTGCATTCCCCTACACTTCCATTGATTCCCTGTCCGGGGACAAGGGCCGACTTTGACCCTGCTCCCTCGCCCTCATCTTGCTACTCCTCCATATCGCTTCTATAATCTCTCTCCAGATCTATAGGAAACACTCTAGAGTCCAGATCGTTATCTCCCTTCAAAATCCTAGAAGTCAAGAGGTGTGCCAAGAGACCGCCAACAGTTCCGCTGGAATGCCGGGTGCCTCTCTAGGTCCATATGATGGTCCTGCTGGTCCTCCTGGCCGGCTTGGGAGGATCTGTCCTCCTGACCAACGTCCAAGGCAACTATTTCGAACCCGTTTGTTACCTTTTCTTGAAGAATACTGGTGACATTCTGTCCTTCCTCAATCCTTGGGATTGTGACGGACACATCTGTGGCGAGCTGCCATTTCCCTCTTTCTCGACATACCTGGCCGCAATCAGCGGGCGGGTGTCCATCAATGTCAGTCGAGCTGATTTGGCCGAGGCCACCACATGTGGTACCTCCCCATTGGCGATGTGTTGAATGGTAGTGAACTCTGGTGTGTACTCTGCGTTCCACTTAATTAATTTTTCTGTCTGGGACACGACCACGGCCACTCCTTTTTCCAATAGCAAGCGTGTTGATCCCTCTTCTGCCGCCGTTTGATCCACATTTGGTTCCTTCTTTCTCTGACTTTTCCCTGTTTTCCATTTCTTTGGCCGCAGATCCTGAAAGTGGTCTTTGGTGTTGAGGACTGTCTTGTCTGCTAACCCTTGTTTTCTTGCCCTCTTTTTTTTGCATATCTGAAAGCAGTGTATTCAGAAAATTCCTCTGCCTTCTCTTTCTTCAGTGTGTCATACTGATTTTTTGACTTCTCAATGCCAGCGATTATCCCATTCTTCCCATTTTTTTGGGATCTCTCAATGTGCTTCAGACAGGCCGCTCTGATGTCAAGTGCATGCCCTCTCTCCCTTTCGGCCTTTTCGATATATTCCCTCAACCAGTGAAGAGACCGTTGGGACTCTGATGCACTATCTGTGGCTGTCTCCCCTGTCCCTCACTTTCCTTGCTTGCTTTGCTATCTACCCCGTCATCTAGGGAATCAGAACCCGTAATTATCCTTCCCTCTTCTGCATGGGTCTATTCTGTCCCCTTCTTCTCCTCCAAATTACTTGCCTTCCTTTTCCTGAGACCCATCTCTGTCATCCCCTGGAAGTCATCCAGCGTGCGTTTGTTGGCGTGCGTTTGTTGCAAGTTTGTGTCTTGGCCCTTTTTTGTTGGGCCTCTTGTTCCAACTGTCTCAGAAATTACTGAAGAGCTGCTGGTTCTTTGCTGTATAGTTCTGCCTGTTCTTGGACTGCGTCCAAGTCCCACAACAGATCTTCCCTGACCTTTTCTTCTCTAACCACACGAGAGTCGATTAATGGGTTGGTGTTTATCTTTGTTGGATTCCCTGTCACTTTGCCTGTTGCTTTCTTCTGCCATTTGCTATCTGCATGGGGAAAAATGCTCATTTTTTTTCCCGACGTTCCTAATCGGTGTAATGCCACACCCAATCTGGGTCATCCAAGTTGTTGTAGAACACCCCACCATCGTAGTTGGAATCTACACTGAACCAGGTGCCCGGGACATCCTCAAACTTCAGGCAATTCGGATCAGTTCCCCTATGACCGCGTTCCCTGCATCTGAAACAGATCGGAGAAGTCTTGGTAGAGACCTTGACTTCTAGTGCTCTGCTCTCTATCTGGAATTTCCATGTCAGTGGAAAAACAGGGGGGTCAGCTGTCCTTACTTCTAGCAGGGCCGTCATGGAGCCACAGTGAGGTGCTAGGAAATCTGGAGTCGGCATGATCCATTTGAGGATTTTATTTGCAGGATACTGTCTCTCCAGTTTGTCAACCAGCAGACCATGGAATCCCGGTTCAATGTGGCTCCATGATCCTGGCATGAGGTGCTAGGAAATCTGGAGTCGGCAGGATCCATTTGAGGATTTTATTTGTCGGATAGTGTCTCTCCAGTTTGTCAACCAGCAAACCATGGAATCCCGGTTCAATGTTGTCAAATTGAACCCAAAAATTCTCTTTCATCAGTGTTTGCTTGTATGAGACACGTGTTCCTAAGAAAAGCAAAATGAGAAAAATGCTAGGCTACCAGCCGGGCCGCCCGGGCTGCCTGGGTCACCTGGGCGGTCCGGCCGTGCAAGGGCCAGGGAAGGTCCCAGATGAAGGGAAAAAAAAAAATAAAAAAAAAATCCGAAAACAAACTATGTTATACAGAAAAATAAACTGAACAACTTTTGCCTCAGGGTCACATCGAAATTCTTTACAAAATTTTAAATAAAAATTTTAATTCAAAAATCTTTTTTATTTTTTTATTTTTTCATTTCTTTTTGGCCCGGCCGGGCAAGTGGACCCGGGCCACTCTGGTAGCCTAGGAAAAAAGAAAATTAGTGACTCGTTACCGTGATGCACAGACCTGAATTCGAATCCAGACTATATATTCTCGGCGACCTGAATTCGAATCCAGACTATATATTCTCGGCCCACACATACAAACTGGAAGTCTAAAGTCTATCTCTGCTCCACTTGGGGTCCTCGCTTATCCACTGTAGGGGCCCTTCAAAAAAGAGACTGGACACAATTAGGACATGCACATCCACACTCACGGACATGTGCCCACAGTTTTGGGGTACGGCATGACCCGGACTTTTTTTTTTTTTTTTTTTTAAACTGATCAGAACAGATACTACTTTTGATCTTAGCCAAAAGGCCGAGAAAGGTACCCTGACTTTTTTCCCTCTTGCTTTCTGATTTTTAGAAGCACGGGGCATGTTTGGCCACCCCACCCTGTCCTTTCAATTTTTTTTTGTGATGCACCGCATCACGTGTGCGTGCATGCAAGTGCGCTCTGTGGCGCACGCAGCGCCGCGACCCCACGGACGGGATGCGCCGCAAGTATGGTACATCCCCGTTCGAGCTTGACTGGGGCCAATTAGAAAGAATGACTTTTGCCAATTCCCTCCTCCTGGTCACATCAACGCTCCTTGCACACCTGCTTCCATACAAAAGATGCGGAATTGCTGGCTAAAGCTTGTGAGCGCATGCAGAAGGCAAAAAAGTGCATGCAGCAGCAAGCCAACCAGCGTTGATTGCTTTGCCCTTTCTGCCCAAGGCAACATCGTGTGGATTTTCACCTAGGAGGTTAGCCTCGAGCAAGAGCGGCGGCAAACTGTTCACTCGCTGAACAACTTATGGGACGAGGTGCAGAGAAGGGACTAGGCCTGGATTATGTTCTCAAATCTGTGTTGGTGAACGATGTCGCGTAGTTAAACCAAATGTCCTAGTAGAGGGGGAGAGAGAGAGAGAAACAGAGAGAGACTGATGATCTGATTGTCTCTTCCATAGCGTCCTGTGCTCATAGAGTGTCATCCAGTGGACACGCAGGTGTCAATGGATGCCTCAATGGATGCATTCTGAGGAAGGGAGTTGGTTCTCGTACCTCAGTTTCTAAGCCAGACCCTGCTATCTTCTGCACAGCTTCCTTGAGCATTGATGTGTCGACTCTCCCATCAGGTAATTTCACAACCATATTATCCAACATGATTCTTGTCACCCTCCCTCTCCCATCACCTCTGCATTCCAGCACCTGCTCGACCTCTTCCAGTGTACGGGCTTCGACCTGCAATCATGTGCAATGAGAAAAAACTGTTAGGACCTGCCAAACACGGGCTGAGGCACACAGCTGATTTCTGAGTTTTTCCAATGGAACGCATGCCTTGCTGAGTTTCCCGCTTGTTGCTGAGTTTTCTAAGTCCGAGTGTGTGCATGCTTGCTGGTCTGTGTGCCTGTCTGAGTGCTTGTCGGTTTGAGTGTGTGTGAGACCCGCGAGGGTACCTGTCCGTGTGGAAGGCCCAAAGGGTCGGTACTTACCTGTGGCCATGGCATTGAGGTTTGCGGTGGGGGAAAACACTCGAAGCAGCGGAAAAACACTCAAGTAGCAGGTAGGCCGGTACCACACCAGGTAGAGGCAGATGTGCCGTGTAATCGAGGCCGAGCAGAAGAAGACGGAGTTGGCATTTTTTGAGGCCCGGTAGTTGTAGGCTAGGTCTAGGCAGGTACCAGTCCAACCAGTCTGAGTCTATGGCCTGTACGGGCAATATCAGAGTCTGCAATGATGTTTCCCTCCGAAAGGGAGGAGGTACCGGTTGCTTGGAGGCCTCACGGGCTAGGAAGTCACTCACCAAGAGGCAAGCAGGCCGCTATATCTCCAGGAGGAGCGAGGTGCTCCTCATTGTCAGTGTGCAAGTTTGGCAACACACCGGTTGGAGCACTGGCTGGGACAGCGCTAGCATCAGAGCAGTGCTGCTGGGGAAGGAACAAGGACAGGAGGAGGAAGAAGACCAGGACTAGGACGGAGGAGCGCCAGAGGTACTTACCTGGCTATGGTGGATGCCATCTTCACCACCTTGGTGGGCACTGCATCTGGAAGGCCCAGTTGGGGTAGAGCTAGACCAAGAAGCTTGGCCTGAGATAGAGCTAAAGAAGGGTGGCCATGGCTATGGTGGACCTCATGTGCTGCCTGCAGGAGAAGAGGGATTCGGGCATTGATTCTGGTTCAGCCATTCAATATTATTATTATTATTTCTTGTTTGAATAAGAGGGGAGGAGAGTGTTTGGCGAAGAAGAAGGGAATTTTCATTGGTGTTTGCTGGTGTACATCTTCTTCTTCTTCTTTCTTTCTTCTTCTTCTTTCTTTCTTCTTCTTCTTTCCCTCTCCCTCCTCTCAAGTTCATTCATTTCGTTTTGCCATTGGACAGCATTGTGTTTTCTCATGATTGTGTACTTCGAAGTTGGCATCTTGTAGTGCTGCGCGGACTCCGAAGATGGCGTCGATTTGGAATGTCGGCATCTTGTAGTGCTGCACACTGGTGTTGCCATCCTTGTTGGGCCGCTGGTGCATTTGCTGAACCTCGGTCTTCAAGGTGTTCAGCTGCTTGCTGATGGTGGCTGGTGCAGCGAAGGTGCTGATGTCGCCGAGCATTGCGACGACGTGGTCAACTCGTTCCTCCAATTGGCGGGTAGAGGGTGCACTGCTGGCCGGGCCAACATCCGGTCTTGGTGCTACTTGCTCCAAGTCCTGTACACGGGAATCGAGTGCCTGTGTAGCATCCTCGTGCAGATCCTTGTGGTTCCGCACCGCCCGTCGGAGATTCGCCAGCTCGGACTGCAGGTGATTACAAGTGTAAACCAAGCGGGTCACGAGTTTGGCCAGAAACTCCTTGTGCTGCTCCTCCGGTGTTGAGCTTTTCGATGCTGGTGGCTTCATGCTACTGTTGCAGATCCTGGGCCTCCTTCCGGCGTGCCTGGGTATCTGCTTCTGCTTCGGCTTGAAGCCGCTGCTTTTCAGCTGTTGCCGCCGCTGCAGCTTGTAGGCGGGCAGCCTCGGCTGCCGCCTGACGCTGTTCCTCAGCCTCGATCAGTGCGAGCTGAGCTTCGAAACGCTGTCGGTACTCGGCAACGGACTCATTGGCCAGTTGGCCTGGCATGCCCAGAACTGAGCCCGTCATGGTGGCGGGGCACTGCTGACATGGCACTGCGGCATTGCTGACGTGGCACTGCTGATGTGGCACTGTGAGGTGGCACTGTTGCTGACATGGCACTGTGACGTGGCACTGCTGACGTGGCACTGTTCCAAACCGGGAATGCAGGCAAAGGGGTGGGTGGGAGGGAAAACACAGGTAGGTAACCAACCCAGCTATACTTTCCTCCCGGTCCTAATCAACAGACTAAAATAAATAAAAAAAACTAAAAGAAGAGGATCACCCCCCCTTTTTTTTTTCTTTTTTTTTTTTGTTGTATATCTGTCGATCTGCTATGAGTGAGGCATGTAAGAAGAGTACTGTGAGCGAGATCTAGGCTAGGTTCCACAAAGTTTCGGCTTTCACAAAAATGCGATCTTGAAATTTTTTTTGCGAAATAGCGTAGAGATGCGATTTTCAGAAAAGAACTAAATCCAGTTTCTGAGAATATGACAACCTCCTAATATGCCTAAAACGAAATGCTGATAGGCTTCGCAAGATTTCGGTTTTCAAAAAAAAATTTGCGAGATAGAATGGAGATTCGATTTTCAGAAAAGAATAAATCCGGTTTCCGAGAATATGACCACCTCTATCGTTATCCTTTTTTCTTTTTTTTTTAAAAACAGGTCCTTATGGTCCTGGCTCCATATCCATTCTGGGGAGCATCAGTCCGGTTACTATTCCCCCGGCAAGTCAAAAATGAATACATCATCAACCACTCACGATTTCTTCCGTTTGGCCGAAGGAACCCTGACCAGCATTGATTGCTCCCATTAGGAGGATTGACTGTCAGCTTGCCTTCCACTGCAATCCCTCTCAGATC